TTTTTGAACACACGTGTCCTTTATTTTGTACATCAGGAAGGGGGGCTAGGGAGGGGTAAGTGGAAGGAGATGAGGGAGGAATGGGGTACGAGCCCCCGATGGGGAGGACTGGGGTGGCTCTGTGGGCTCCTCGGGGTGGAAGCTCTCCTGCAGCCCCCCAATTGACACCCCCCCCGGATGGCAGCCTGCGGCAAGTGCAGCTGGGCTGATGACCGAGCGCTGTGATGTGCCGAATGTGGGCACTCCAAGACAGGACTGCTTTGCTGTCCCTCATCGAGGTAGACAAGCAAGCGGGGAACCCTGAGAACTGTCTGTCCGGGGTGGGGGTCGGGTCCCTTTAAGCACAGCCCTCTGCTAGCCTGAGACAGCAGCTCCACGCTCGAAGACCTAACCTGGTGCCCTGCTGGCACTGCTTCCGGCCAGCCTTAACTTTGGTTCAGGGTCCACTCAATGTGGACATGCTAGTTCGAATTAGCAAAACGCTAATTCGAACTAGTTTTTAGGTCTAGATGCACTAGTTCGAATTAGCTTAGTTCGAATTAAGTAATTCGAATTTAGTTAGTTCGAATTAGTGCTGTAGTGTAGACATACCCTAAGGCACTTACTAACCTTCCAGCAAATACAGTAACCTTCCAGCAAATACTGTTCTGTCAAAATATGTGCATCACACAGGCGATGAGATTTTGCTATCTGGTTATTGAAATGTGTTGTGGGTTTGGGAGACACTCTCTGCTTTCCAGTGACTACAAGGATAGCGACCCCACACCCTGATGGGCAGGGGAGTTGTAAACAAGAGATTTATAGTTCCGTAAGGCTACATCTACACAGCACATTAATTTCAAAATAAGCTATTCCAGAATAGGTATTCTGAAATAGCTTATTCTGAAATATCTTGTCTACACTGAAGGGAAGCCTCAAAATGAGTCCAAGGCAGGCTCCCCTAATGTCGACGTGCTATCTCGATTTAGAGGAATAACGTAGCCCCTCACCAGGGCCATTTTATTTCAAAACAGCAGTAGTGGTGAATCTACACATGCCTTATTTTGAAATAGCTATTTCGGAAGAGGCATTATCCCTCGTAGGATGAGGTTTACAGATTTCGGAGTAAGCCACCCAGCATTTGGAAATTCTTTCGAAATAAGGGAATGGCTGTGTAGATGCTCGCACAGTTATTTCGGAATAACAGCGTAGTTCTTGTTTGCCAATTGGAGGCATGAGTAAGCATCCTTGAATGAGCAGAGTGCATGCACATCTGCAATACCCAAGCCAACACCAGCCTCAACAGCAAGCTGCATGCTCTCCTTTCTGCAGCACCACACACTCAGGGAGAATCTGCAGAGCAGGCCACAGCACGAAGGCAATGCTGTGCTTTCTCACCTCATCTCAATCATCATGTCCTCCAGCATCTCAGATGTCTCCCGGCTATATATCCGGATGTAGAACTGGTTAGGTGAGATGATGTACTCCACAAAGACACCCACCAGCATGCTGCTGTCTAGTGTGGGGAGACAGTAAAGTCTTCTGTCCTGAACAGCATCAGGGGGGATCTCTGGCTCTGCTATCTCCTGGGCGAGCTGTAGCTCCTCCATATCCAAATGCTGCAGAGACAAGGAAAAGGACTAAAAGGACACGGTGCTCAGATAAATGGTTAGATGGTCAATGCTGCAACTACAGCACCAGCAGAGATAAAAACCTGGTGGGGCTTGTCCCAATGCCTAATGGAACAGCTGTCTAGTGCCACCTAAACCCCTAAGTCTAGTGCTTCATTTGTAATAAAAGAAGGGCTGGTATTAGCGCTCAGTGATTTTACTTTCATAGCTGATGTGGCCAGTCCAGCTGTGCCAGAACTATGAACTGCAAAGCTTGGAGGTATCACAGCTCAGCCCTGGCACAAATTAAGCACTGCCCGAGTCCTAGGCCAATGCTTGCCTCTGAAGAGCTCGAGGCAACAAAGGCTGGCAGATGTGGTTGGGGAGGCTCAGCCCCACAATGAAGGGAAAGCAGTGCCTGACTTACCCAATGTTTAACTGGAATATTTGCCATGGTCTGACTGGCTCAGAGGAGGTAATGTGTCAGCAGGTGAGTTTCCCTAAGAATAGGAACATGCTCGAAATTCTCTGGGATGTGCTAACCCAACAAGGGAGGAGATGGGGAACAGACAAACTGTTATCTCGCACCAGATTTGAGAGAGGAACCTCTGAACAGCTCCAAGCTGGGAACCTAGAAAATAAGCCAGTCAACTCAAAAATCGAGTTCATGAAAACTCAGAGGCAACACCAGAAGGGAGAAAACCAGTGCCTTTCAGGAGAGGACTTGGCCAAAAAAGTGAACTAAATCTTTTTGGGCTTCATTTATTGATGTGGGTATACGCAGTGGCCTAGGGGCAGCGCTTTCTGCTACTCTGCAGTGATTCAGATTTCATCTATGTACACTGCTTCTTGTGCCAGCAAGAAGAGTGTGCACCATAGAAATAACTTCAGGACTAGGAAGGCTGAGGCAAAGGAGAAAAAAAAAAGCACTTTACCTCACATCCCTAGTGGACAATGCAGAACCAATACAGACAGATGAGCTCAAAAGATTGCCTGATTAACAACGACAGGTGGAAACTGCATTGTGGGAGTAAGGTATTTATGAATCTGTTTAGTTCTCTTAAGGCCAGAAGGGACCATTGTGATAATCCAATCTGACCTCCTGCATAACATGGCGGAGAACTTCACTCAGTGTTCTCAAGAGGAAGCTATGGGCTTGATGCAGAGTTATGGCACAACTTTTAGAAGAATATCCTGTCTCAATGTGATAGCGTCGAGTAATGGAGAACCCACAATGTCCATAGTAAAGATGGCTTTGGATAGTCCGGATGCAGAAAAACTCAAGTGGCTCTGCACGGCTGAATCTGTGTACTGTACACTACTGTGAAGGGATTTTTAAATTCCCATCAGCCAGCACCAGCCACAACTTCCAAACGGGAAAAGCAACCCCCTTTGGCCATTATATTACGGAAGGCCACTCACCGGTTTCAGCATCTTTTTTACCACATTAAGCTCTCGGCTTTTTTTCAGGTCCCAGCTCTCAGAGTTCTCAGAACGGAAATCCCAGGTGGAAACCTTGAGCTCAGCAGCACCTAGTGAAGAGGTCAAAAGAACCAGACAGACAGATTTCACCCTTTGCTTGCTCATCTAATGGAACCAAATGTGCTCTGTTAGAGGGCGAACCTCACTTGTCTTAAGCCAGAGCTGTTACTTTTCAAGGGTCAGTCTACAGTCAGGAAATTTACCTTTGCATTCACTCTAGTGCATACATAGAGCAGAGCTTCACCCAATAAAGAAGTTTCCTTGGCATAACTACAGAATAAGATAATTACACCTGCACAAACGCCCAATGTAGACATCACACTGCTGTAAAATGTGGCTTAGCAGCATAAGCTGTAGCATTCTAAGTCACATATGTAGATATAAATGACTTTAGCATAGATGGCACCCTAAGGAGGAAGGAGAATAAATCCATTTGGGCCTCAGAAAGCCTGGAGAAAAAGAATGGATGTGCATTAAGATATAAAGGCAGAATCACTAATAAATTCATTCCTTGCCTAGTAATACATGCACAATACTCCTCAACCCACAATAAAAAGGTTTCAAAAATATCGGCATTAAAATATAATCTGCAAGATGCCAACAAAGCAAGCTTCTCTCCATACAGAAGGGAAGAAGCAAATGATTTAATGTCATAATTTAAAGGTACAACACCCTTTACTCAGCATTAGCGATGTAAAAAGTAGTTTAAAAAGGTAACTGTGTAACTGCTACAATTCTTAACAGTTACATGCACTGCAGGCTCTGCAGTATAAAGCTTGGCTCACAGCAAAGCCGCTTCTCCTGAGTGGGGCCAGCGGCACGCCACACGTTTTCCACCGCTGCGATATTGGTCACAGATTCCAATATGTGCAGCAGAATCTAATCTTTCCCTGACAAATGAGCTAGCCTTTACTGTCAAAATACTCCTTGGCAAGGAATCTAAGCTAGTCTGTCTTCTTGGCAGCCTGAAATGGTAACTCCAAGACAGATGTGAAATTCCCCCTTCAGGGTTCTCAGTAAGCTGAGCGCTTTGGGCTGCCACCCAAGAGACATTTAAATACTGCTCAACTGATCAGCAGAGCGCCCAGAGCTGGCAGCAAGCGTCTACTAGTGGTGCACATCTGCACATTCCTTGGTGTACATAATAAAATTTAGTCCACCCATGGATAGAAAAAAATTAGAGGAAACACTGTCCCTCCCCCCCCCCACCACACACATTCAATAGGTTTTTAACTTTGAAGGTAAAAGTCAAATGTAACATTTTCTCGGGCTTCACAAATCCACTCACCTGTGTTAAGAACTGAGCCAAGCTGCCAGTGTGTAATGCTGCATCGTGCTCTGAACACTAGGCAAGGTGAACTTGCATGATGAGCAGGGCTGTCTCGGAGTGGGGGGGAGACCAGGGTCCAGGGAACCCCCCCTCCCAATGTCCCAGTTGCAGGGCCCAGAGCAAACCTCCTGCTACAGGCCCTGTCCCCTTCCCACTTCTGCTTCATCCCGTCACCTCAGGCCTGTCCCTGCTCTGCCCACGCCCTGCACCTGTCCCACCAAGCCCTCCCTGTCACAAGTTTGGGAATTACCAGGGGGCCTGATGCGGGGCAGCAGCAGGAAGTCAGAGCCCCCCCAGCAGCCTGCTCCACTCTGCCCTGCCACCCTCCCCACCTGCTGCGCTCCTGCTTCCCACTGCAGCGGTGAAGTGGAGTACCCAGCCTGCTCCCCTGAACAATGCAGAGCTCAGGGGAACAGTCTGGGGCCAGGGCACTTTGCTTCCCGCCACCACAGAGAATCACAGAAGAGTGGGCTGGGAGATGGGTAGTGGGGTGGAGCCGAGCAGGCCGACAGATTGCTCTGGCTCCCACACCCCAGGTAATCCTTAGCTAATATGGGGGAGTGCTCTCTCCAATGGAGGGTTGAGACAGCCACCACGGGGCCCCCCAAAGCACAGGGCCTGGGGCAGCTGCCCTGAACTGTCCTATGGAACGTAGACTCTCTGCTTCTTGTACAGATCCCATTGTAATGGACCCTGTTGTAGGTCTTCAGGGGAAACATCTGCCACACTGGCAGCATTTTGGTCATTTCTGCCCTACAGTGAAACATGGGCACACAAAGCCGTCACTTACCATCTGCTAAGCACTTTGATTCAAGATCAAAGACCAGCCAGTCCTGTTCGCCTTCCTTGCACTCAACATGGAGAATGTCATTAAGGGCCCCAACAAAGTCCATCACATTTAAGAAACCCAGCTCCTTCACCGACAGCTTCTCTTTAAAGCGTGCCTGTTGCAGGAAAAGAGCAGTTTTACAAGACATTCAACTGCCTTATTTTAAACTGCAACCACTATTTCAGCTTTAACCAAAATGACAAGGCCCTGCTAGAGGTAAAAAAAACCTTACCTCAAACTCACCAGGTAGCTTAGAAGCAAGCAAACCCTCGGGATACTGGGCTGCAACCTACATGATAGGAAAGGATGCATCATAACCAGATAGTTGTGTGCCTGGACCTTAGGTGAAAGAGGGAGTAAGAACAGGCTTCACTGCAGCACAGACAGCTAAACAGCATGTTATGCACACAAAATAAATACTCTAAAAAGCTAGAGCCACCAGCTTTCGATATGACACACTCTTTATTACTAGCTCCTGGGGCTGGACATGTTGGACCTTTGACCTGCCGCTGCCCCAAATTAGTAATGCTTTGGCATTCATCCAGAAACTCAGACTTGCATAAATTTAATTTCATAAGCTACATATAAATGGAAGAGGAAGTAAGGACTACATCGCATGTGCATGTTTGAAATTCATGGCCCCACACAGTGACACAAGAATGAGGAGCAAATGAAAAAGCCTTTTAAAGGATCTGCATCTCTGCATTTGACTTGTTGGTCTCAGCTGCGGCCGCAACCCTGCTAGAAGATATAGAAAGTGTACCAAGAGACTGACTCAGATACAAGAGAATTTTAAATGAAAATGTCCAGAAATTTACTTGCATAGGTTCATCAGACCCAATCAGCAAGTCCACACATCTCCACTGCATACAAAGATTATGAAAATTCTACATTATGGAATATCTGCTACAATCAAAAGTCAAATTTTCCAGCAAAATAATCTAGGCCAATTTTTGTGAAGATCTTTTCTGTATCCTTACCTTCCTTCCCATATTGACACCATCTTAAGACCTCCCCTTCTCCCACTTGGCAGTTTGGGAGTGGCAAAGTAATCATGTCTCCTGCATCTACCAATTCACCACTTAAGTCATCCATTTCAGAACCCCCGACATAGGCAGTTAAGTTGAGAACCCCCAATTAGCAGTAAACCACTTCACTGCAGTATGGTTGCTTAAAATACATCAACATGCTAGTCCACACTTATAAGATGGTGAGCTCTTTGACACATGGACTTCGTGAAACTTTAGCTAGTGTGAAGAAAAATTATTAGTGACAAAAAAAAGAGATAAGTAGATTATCCTGTGTGATCTCACACCCCTTCCCCCCAAATACACACATTTAAACAATCTGTAGGGGCCATTAAACTTTCATAGGTTCTGATTCTGCACAGTATTCATAGATAATCTGTATCCTCTGCTGGGTTTTTTCCAGACTAGCTGATTTCAAAGGCAAAGGAAACATATTTCAATCTTGTGAGAAGAGAAGCAGATAATGGGTCAGCTGACTCCACATCACCTTCCCTAATTTATCTGTAAACAGGGCTGTCCTTACTCATATGCAGAACACACAGCTGTGTAGCACACCTGAAATTTTGGGGCACCAAGGGGCCTTAACGTCCACCCACCCACCTCTTCCTGTCCTTGTTCTGTAGCTCTGCTTCCTTCGGGGAGGATCTAGTTAACTTGAAAGGGAAAAAGGCTGCCAGACCTATTAGCAGAACACGGAACCTGTGAACAAGCCATTCAAGCGGTAATGAAGACATTTAACAGGCATTTGTGAACACCAAGTATATACTATCGGTTTCTGAATGTATGGTGTAAGTCTACAGGACCTTAGTTTTAAAGAAAATTTTAAGCTATTTCATTAGTGTGTTGCTGAAGATTATAAAAATCACACCTCTAATTGTCATTCCCCGTGTGCCACTGAACACAGGGGCACCAGGTGAAGAGTCCTGTCTGTAATTACTACATGTACGGAGAAGCAGTGACGGTGTTCCTCGCGGATCGGGCTTTACATCAGTGCTTCTCAAATGCAGTCACTAGGGACTTTTCTTGTGGCAGCAGCCTCCTGGGCAGTTATGGGGAGGGAGGTGAATCGCCGCCCCTTCTCTTCCCTAGTGTTCCTGGATGCATCACCTTAGAGTTGCTTTCTGGGACCACCAGCAGGGGCTGGGCCTTTGATTCGGTCCACCCAGAGACACCGGGGCAGAATGCTGGGGAAACTGGCAGCTAGTGAGTTTTCCACCTTCCCAGGAAATCAGGCTTTGGACTTGATCCCTAAGGTGACAGGGCAACAGGCTCTGACCAGCTTCAGGCACTAGCTCTGATTGCACTATGTGGACCCCCGGTTTCCGCCTGGCAGCTTCAGGCCCCACCACCCCCAGCTGTGGGGCTTCAAGCTACTAGCCCCTGCTGCCTACCTCAGCCAAGCCCAGCAGAGGGGTGGGCAATATGTCCCCAGGATTGCTGGGGTTGAGCAAGTGTGCTGTGAAAAGAAGAACATACAAATAATATCACTTTTCACTGCAGACTTATTACTTAGCAATAAATACACGATGGTGATTTGGACTTGTGTATGTGCGTATTTATTCTTCCAAAAGTTAATTGTTTTAGGGGAAAGTGTGAGAATAGCCACCAGTAAAAGTTGGTGGCTGCACTCGGAGACCACCAAATAACTTGTCCTGAGTGTGCCTGCTTTAGACATGTAGCGTTTAAGTGCTTATTCCTCCCCACGGCTAGAGACATTTCCAAATATGAACAACACTTACAACTCGGATCTTTTCTTTGAGTTCTGAGCTGACTGTTCCTCCGGCTCCTTTCTGTGCAATCATCATCTTCATATTCTTCTCCAACTTAAAGGGAAAAACCAAAAATAACACTAAGAACAAAAGCAGGATTCCAAGAAAAAGCTCACATCCAATTGTGCAACCAAGGGGGCAAATTAATTACAGTAAAAGGTTTGTTAATTGGTAGAAATGACATAAAACAATTAGGATTTCAATTAATATCAGCATCTAGCAAAGTTTTTAAAACTCACTGCATGCAAAAGATGCATAACTGTTAATTCAACAACTGCTCACGCTGTCTAGTTCTTGCCCTCCATAATCTTTGGAGACTTTTGCATAGATCATCAATACTGCTGATGATCTTGCTAAGATGCAGCGGTCACCAATTAAATTACTGCTTACATTTGCCACTGGAATTGCACCACCTCATCATTTAACAGTCTACGGGCAAGCCACAGGTCAGCTTTCCAGAACACATCACACACTTCCTTTGATTATTCCTTTGCCATAGCAAGAGCCGTGGGGACATTCTGCCTCCTACCATCCCGTGGCATATAGGCCTTCCAGCAGGAACTAACTGTACTGCAGCTGATTTCCTTCCAACAGCCTCTTCTCCACCCAAACCTTCCTGCTAAACCTCTCCTTTGTCTTTTTCACCCACTCAGGTCTGTCTATGCACCTGCCCAACCAAGCTGTACCCTATACACAGAACTCTTCTCTCCCTCATTTGCTAAATGACCCTCTCTTTGTAGGTGTGAAGTATTCTTCATTTCAAATCCCTCTTAACACATGCTTCTCCATTAGTACTTCAATGATTATCTAAAAAAAATCCACATCTCCCATTTTACCATTAAATGCATCATGGATCAGTATTTGACTGTCTGTGCCTGATCACCTAAGTAAGCACACTGGGGTGGGGAAAGTAAATGTCTTCCTTTGTCTGAATCTGAACATTGCCTAGCATAAAGAACTTAACAAAAATGGCTGGCCTTTAGGACCAAGCCTTTCCCTGGTGCTAATAAATGGCCCAGTAATATTCTACCTCAGCACAGGACCAGAAGAGACAGAGGAAATGGTTTTTTTCAGTTATGGTATTACCAGGAAAAGCCTCCACTCTTTTTTGTCCTTGGGAGAAAGCGTATCTAGTAGTCTGAGCAAAGTACAGAGACTCCCAGCTCCTGGTTTCTATTCCTTTCTAAGATTTGCTGTGTGACCTAGGGCAAGTCACTTAACCACTGCGTATCTCAGTTTCCATAGATTGTGGATAGTCATAATGGCATATCTGCCTTCACAGGAGGATTATGAAGCTTAATATTAAGTGCTCAGAGATATTTGAATGCAAGGCACTGTATCCTGGGTAACAAGTTGATGGTCATTACAGGAATTGTCCAATGGGTGATCTGTAACATGATCACAGACTTTGTACCCCAGAAGCAGAATGCTTATGGGACTGGACTGCCATTAAATCCACATGGCAATATGAATTTTTTGCAGATTAGTTCACAGCAAACAATTTAGAGAACTCTCCCCTTGTGCTGACAACTTATACTCTAGAGACCATCATGTTGATCATTGAGCAGAATCATATGAGAGAGAGAGGGAGGGAGGGAGAGAGAGACACACACACTTTTTCAGTTACTCACTTGTTTCAGTTTCTCACCACAGCTCCCTACTTCTGCTTCCACTGGTTCTGGTCTCTGTTTTGGTATTTCGAGGCTGTCTGCATACAAGACAGATCCTGGAGGGGGTGTCTTAACTGCAGGTGCTGAAGGACAATCAGACTTGGACTGCTCTGCCTTCCTTGGCTGAGTCACCTTTTCACCTTAAGCAGAGGTTTATACACAACTTTTATCAAACTGCATGAACATGCAGGCAGTGGCGGCCCGACAATACAGGCGAACTAGGCGGTCGCCTAGGGCGCCAAGATAAATGGCCGTTGAGGGCTTTGGAGGCGGGGGCGCCGATCACGCGCCGATCATGCATTTCACCTAGGGCGCCAGTTGCCAGCAGCTCGTCTAGGGCCGCCCCTGAGTCCTAGTTTTGCAGTCAGGCAATGCTGGGCTCACACCAATGTTTAGCCAGCTCCACAATAAAGAGGCAACCTTTATCCTAGCTACAGACTTCAACTTCTCTAAACTCACCCCTCTTCACCTCCCTCCCCCTGAGAACAGAGGAGGAATCACTTTATAAAGCCCCAAGTCATACATAGCCAGAACCCTTTGGCACTGGGCTGAGTCCAAAGCTGCTGCAGCACCATCAGAGTCCCGCAGCCAATGGAGACGTAGCCCCTTTCACCTGACACAAGGTCTGCTTGAAGAAAGCGTGACAGTGTGCTAATCAGAACCACCTGCCCCAAGTTAAATACATATACAGCCTCACCCGGCGACAGCTTTTCCTGCTGTTGCTTAACCGAGAAACTTCTCTTCAGGGTCAGTAGAGAACCCGCCCTGGTCTGCTCAATGGCAACGATATCGGAGGCTGCGTTCAGCACGTCAACCATGGAGAAAAATCCATAGCGCACATATTGGAATGGCCGTCCAAAGCGCCTGGTGAAGGCCTTATCAAAATCTGAGAGCAAGACTGGGGACAGACTCAGCAGGTCCTTCAGCTCACTCTTCACCACAGCTGGCAGGATAGGAGGAGTCCGGCCCCGCCGAGGGAGGCTAAGGCGAGAGAAGGTGTTTGTTCTTCGCATGCTATTTCGTGCTTTTGTACTGGTCTTCTGCCTGGCAACCAAATTTGCTATTCCTCTGGTGGCCTCATCTGCAATGACTAAAGAAGCAGAAACAGTGTTGGGGGACTGCTCGTTTTCTCTCCCCCTTCCCTTTTTCCCCTTCTGAGGAAACCCTCCTCTTCAAGAGCCACAACAACTAACCAGTGTAACTTTACCATGAATGCTGGAGAGCACAGTAACTAGCTTTTATCCTCCCGTCAGAAGTCTGTCTGGAACAGCTTTAACATCCCATATTGGGCAATATGTCAGCACGATGATCTCAGCAGATCAGGATCCAAGCAGAGAAGGCTGCGGAGCCTACAAGTGCTAGGACAGGAGATCACACTAGAAACCCCAGATACTGTAGATGGCGGAGTTGGTAGCTCAACAGTGAGCACCCTACCCTCTGAGCCAGTATTGTGACAAAACCACACTGGACTTCTTGACAGTGTTTTGCTGGAGCTGCAGCCTTTTGAACAAGACGTAAAACCAAGACCCTATCCACCTGTCATCATGGCATTTTTCACAATGTTAGAAATATTACCAATTCCAATTTGTGCAATTACATGCTACATAAGTTTACCTTGCAGTTTTTAGATACAGCATTCTTGTTTCATGGCCCTACATTGATACTGCAGCTAAATGCACATCAAACAGTTATAGACAAAGTGATCCCTGAATATACATAGCCTCTGTCGGTTCATGGCAATTGCACACGTATTTCTCCCTTGACTCATCTCAATCTCCCTCCTGTCCCAAAAGGACCTTCTTGTCTGGCACATTGTTTAAAATTAGGGATGTCAATTAATTGCAGTTAACTCGTGATAAAAAATAATCATTAAAAATCGTGATTAATACCACCGTTAAACAGTCTCAATTGATGTTAAATTTGTTTTTCTACATTTTCAAATACATTAATTTTTATTACAACACAGAATAGAAAGAGTACAGTGCTCACTTTATTAGAAATATTTGCACTGTGAAAAAAAAGAAATATTCTCATTTCACCTCATACAAGCGTTGTAGTGTGATCTCTATTGTGAAAGTATAATTTACAAATGTAAGTTTTGTTTGAGTGCAAATTCATAAAAATAAAAAGTAAAACTTTAAAGCCTACAAGTCCACTCAGTCTTATTTCTTACTCATCCAATTGCTAAAGACAAACCAGTTTGGTTACATTTACAGGAGATAATGCTGCCTGCTTCTTATTCACAGTGGTCACCTGAAACGGAGAATAGTTTTTTGCATACAGGCATCACAAGGTATTTATGTGCCAGACATGCTAACTATTTGTATGCCCTTTGTGTTTCAGCCACCATTCCAGAGGACATACTTCCATTCTGATTAAACTAATTAAAAATATTGCATTAATTAAATTTGTGATTTAATTCCTTGGGAGAAAACTGTATCTCCTGTTCTGTTTTACCTTCATGCATTTCATATTATAGCAGTCTTTGACGACGACCCTGCACGTGTTTGTTTTAAGAACACTTCCACAGTAGATTTGACAAAACACAAAGAAGGTATCAATGTGAGATTTCTAAAAATAGCTACAGCACTGGAACCAAGGTTTAAAAATCTAAAGTGCTATCCAAAAATCTGAGAGGGATTAGGTGTGGAGCAGGCTTTCCGAAGTCTTAAAAGAGCAACATTCTGATGTGAAAGATAGAGAGCACTAACCACCAATGAAGAAAAATCAACCTTTTTCTGGTGGTATCTGGCTATTGAAAATGAACATGCATCAAACTGCTCTGCTTTATTGTTGTCAAGCAGACCCCATCATCAGCACAGACACATGTCCTTTGGAATGGTAGTCAAAGCATGAAGGGACAAATCAATCTTTAGCACATCAGGCACAAATATCTTGCAATGCCTGCTACATTTCCATGCACATACCTGTTCTTTTCAGGTGACATTGTAAACAAGAAATAGGCAGCATTATCTCCTGTAAAAGTAACTCAACTTATTTGTCTTAGCAAATGGCTAAATAAGAAGTAGGACTGAGTAGACTTGTATGTTCTAAAGTTTTACATTGTTTTATTTTTGAATGCAGTTTTAACTAATTCTGTATTTGTAAGTTCAACTTTCATGATGAAGCTATTGCACTACAGTGCTTTTATTAGATGAACTGAAAAACACTTGTTTGAAATGCAACTATTTGTAATAAAAAATAAGAAGTGAGCATTAACACTTGGTATTTTCTACTGTAACCGAAACCAATATATTTGAAAATGTAGAAAACATCCAAAAACATTTACATAAATGGTATTCCATTATTGTTTAATAGTGCAATTAATTGCACAATTTTGTAAAAAATTGCCTGACAGCCCTATTTAAAAACCAATCCTTTGGCACTAACACTTCTCAGGACGTATGTTAGCCAAGTCTTTCCTTCCTAGAAAAGTTACATAGAATCCTACAATAATACACAAACTGTGCATTTATAATACAGTGAACTCCAAAGCTATTTAACCTTAATTCAGTAATATGTCTAAAAGACATTGCAGGAAACTGCCATATCTGTCACAGCCTGCACAGTTCTTTGGGAGTGCTTTTTAATTTGAGGTCTAACTAAAAGCCTCTAACAAGCCAGCACCACCAGTGAGACTCAGACACGGGAGATGCATAACTAGCACTGCAAGATCTCTCTGGACTGATAGGTTGGTAGTATGGTGCTTGCCAAAGAACATTTTTGGAGACCAAACTAGTGCTCTCCCAGCTTTTCCACGTGACCTCTCTTATTACGTAAAGAGGATTTTAAGATGTTAATTCATCCTCTTCCTGTGGCTATATGCCTCTTCCATTTTACAAAGCTCACTCCTCCCAAAACAATGCTGCTGATCATTCCAAAAAAGATTCTCCTAAAAGGTGAGGAAACAAGAACATAGGTTTGACCCACAAAGGTTCTTTTATCAAGAAATAAAAATATTTAGCCCCCCCCCCCAGGCAAGGAGGCACCAGCTTCTTCGCTGGTGCCTTTTTTCCTGACTCTGTCTTCTGCTACAGTCTCTATTTAAATAGAAGAGAGAGAGGCCTAAGTGTTAAGGCAGACTGGAGGACAGGGAGAAACACAAAAAGGTAAGAAACATACATGGTTGCAACTGGAAAAAAACAAAGGACATGTGCAGAAAGTAAAAGACTAGAGACAGTAAAAGAATACAGAAATTAAGACATGGTGCATGGAATTCTGCATACATAACTCTATTATGTAGATTACCCAAAATTAAAAGTACACCAATCTAATATCAGTAGCCCACTAGAATGACGTGAAATCTTTTTAATCATTAACTTTAAGCTGCAGGTCACAAATGTGAAATACCCATTCATGGCAAATGGCCTAGATGCTCCCTACATATCACTCTCTATTAGTTGCACCTCATGATATCTATCTAAAGTTTTCTTTAGAAGCTTGGATGAATACATGAACATGAAAATGACAGGTTAAAATACTGGCTACCCTTCCTCTCACCCCCACTTAAAAGCTCCACATCCAAGGTCCATGCTCTACACCAGCCTCTCCACAGACTATAAGCACAGCATAAGACAGTTCTAACAAATGCCCTTTAATGCTTGGGTGAAGGCTCCCAAGTCATTTGCTCCACTTGTCAGAGGATCCAGGCACCCACCTTTCAGTACAACAGAGCCATCCTTAGAGGAGCTGATGCTGACGACATCGGGCATGTCCTTCACCAGCTCCATGGTGGATTGGTAGCCCAAGGTGCGCAACGGGAGAGGTCTGCCAATCATCGAGAGGTACTCGCTCTCCAGCTGCACTGGGGTCAGGCCCTCTTTGACAGCCATCAGCAGCGACCTCACTTCTTTCCTCAGTGAGTCCATGAGGCGCTCCTGGTCCGACATGTTTGCACTAGGGAGAGAGCGAGAGAGACTGAGCAGAGGGCACAGCTTCCAAGAAGGGAGAGGAGGCACCAGAACCATGTCAATGAAGGGCTTTTCCAGCAAGCCCTAGGGACAGGCACGAAAGGGCACTGGGAAGCAGGAAGGGGGAGTCCCAGCCAGCACCAGGAGCACAGCGCAACAGCTATTACCCCAC